TATGACCGTAAGAGCCGGTTGAAATAGTGCTGCCTTCTGAGGTTTTCGCATGAGCTGACAACAAGAAAACTAACACACTTTTTGTTTCCAATTCGCATTAAAGCTGAACTGCAAATACTTTAAGTGACTTTCGAGGTATCGGAAATACTCAGATCAGATGCTGCCTCTTGGTAATGGCTACGCACCGGAAATAATGGGCCTTGCCTTTTGCGCAATCAACCTAAAAGACAGGAAATTCAATTTTTATGCTCTAAAACAAGCAAACGAAACGTCAACACATACAAACTCGCGCCCACACAATTGTAGCAATGTGTATTTTCAAGTAAATATTGTTGCCGCTAAAGGTTGAAAGAACTTAAAACGTTTACAGACCAACGCGCATTGAGCAACAACAATAATAACAGCGGCAACCGTAATAATAATTGTAAATAATTTTTTATGTTGGAGCAACTCGAAAGCTAAAACATGGCCCTAAGCCCATTTAAAACCAGAGTGCACACAAACCAACCTCGGAGAAGCAAAGCCTAAAAAAAAGGCAACGAAATGTGAAAATGAAAATGATTATTGCGCAAATTGTTTCTCATGAACTAATAAGTAACAATAAAAGTACAAATGTTGCCAAATACAAATATTGACGAAGCTACTATGCTCTCACAAAAAGATATTTTTGATTTAAAAAAAACAGAAACTGATCTATTAAATTTATGAAATCACAAACATACTTTATCATAATAAATCTTTTAACAAAATACTTAATGGAAAGAAAAAGTAATAATCTTCAATAAATAAAGATGTGTTAATCTTGTTTGAAATTTACTTTCATAGAAAGTCACTTGCTAGCCTATATAAGCTGAAAACAGTTTATATAAAATTATTTTAGGATCATTTTTCTTTTCAATTTCATAGCCAGCTGCGCTCTTACTAACCTCTGCCTAGAAGCATCATTAATCCTACCAATTTAAAGCTTTTGTCACAAAAGATTTAAAGTACAATCAATCTAAGTGTGCAACAGCCCATTTTGAGCCCAACACAAATAATTCATAATTTTGTTGTTCCCACGTTGAGGGTGAAGCACTTTTTGGGTTAAATTGGGTTGGATTGTGTTGGGCTTAATCGAATTTTTGTTGTTCTTGGTGCTGATTTTATGCAGCGCATTATATTTTATGTTTATTTTTATCCGCATGAAAATGAAATAACAACGTAAAAAATGTGAGCGCCCCTTAGACATTGAACAACAATTTCATTTGCATATTTTTCATTTGGTTCAACCTCAGCTAGAGTGCGAAATCCTACTATGTATATGTATTCATGGAATATAAAATATCTGTATGGCATTTTAGTAATTTTTTCTGGAATAAATATGTGCGTCAGTTGTTATTGCCGTAGCCATCATAAAATGAAAACACCCAGCTAGGCAATGAAAATTGGAAAATATCAAATTTCCAAAAGCCTCTTGCCATAAAGCGTATGTGCTTGTGTGAACAGTTTGATGGGTCTGCTGTGGTTCGATCGAGTGCTCTGACTCTGTTCCTGACACATTTCATTAGTCCGCTATGCACACACAGCCAGCCACACACCAAAATTTTGTGGTATAAATTGACGCCTGGATTTTTATCATAAGGCAATTTCTTATTATGTATACGCATTTTGCGCGTTTGCTGGTTTAGTTCTTGTTGTTATGACCGTCATTTTATGGGCTTGCCTATATCATAACGTGGCTAAATCATTTGCACTCAGTGCGTAGCGCAAAATACTCAGCCATAAATTATGCTAACACCTCTCCGAAATCGTTTGTATTCATATATACTATTAAGATTTATGTGTGTGCTTGTCTTAAATCTCTGCCTAATGTTGCAAAAATTGTTGTACTTCTTGTACTTAAAACTATGAAGCTATGAAGCTTTAAGCGGACCACAAATATTATATTTATTATAAACAAACATAAACATAAATTGTATATATTTAGCTGAAATAAATAAATTATTGCATTATTAACCAAAGAGTTTGCTTTCCTGTAATTCGTAAGACGCGTTAAATCTTCAAAAATCCCCTTGAGCCTAAGCGCCTTTTAGAATAATAAGTTTTCTAGAGCATAAAAAGGAAAACATGCCGTCAGCTGTTGATGGGCATACCAAAATACATTCTTGCACACATTCAAGCACACACAAGAACGCCAAGCTAAAATCTAAGCATACTTTGCGGCACGTGCTTAGCGATTCGGCTAAGTAAGGCTGGTAGCAAGGCTTAAGAGTTTGTTAAGAGTAAGAGAGAAAAGTGAGAGAGAGATGGAGTTGCACCTACCGAACCTGAGCAGCAAACAAATCACAAAAAGGCGGCTACTAATCCACATGCTTTCCGGTTTCCTGTTGTGGTTTTGATTTTACTTTTTGTTTGTTTGTTTTTCGTGTGTTTTGTTTTGATATTTTTGGCTTGGCGAAAATTGCTTCTTGGTTCACACAACAATTTGTTGAGCAATTTTGATTCGAATTGTGTAGCACTCTTCAAGCGAATTTACATTATAGACACTTGCTTTTAATTGTTGTTGTTTGGCACCATTTTTGAAGAGATTTCTAAGACTATTAAATGCTGATCATTTGTTAATTTGTTTAAGTTAGCGACAGCCGGCACACTCCGAGCACAAAGGCGCGCGCTCACACAACCACACTCAACACTTCTGTCCAGGCAACTGCACGCGTGCAAGGATTCGATTTGACTGCGATGCCTGTTCCGCCAACGAGCCTGTCAAGCTCTACTCTGCGATTCTCTGGTTCTGTACTCTCTTTAGTGTGCTCTTTGGTGGCGCCTATTCACCACACTTGTAAAGCCACCGCCACTTGAACTCGCACTCGAACCGCTCGCACTCAAAGCACAGCACAGCACTCACTTACAGTAGTCACTACACACTCAGCTGCCGCATTTTATAAACCGCCAGAGCCAGAGCCAGAGCCGTGCGTATCCTACAAGCCTCGAAAAGCAACTGACTTGAAGACCGCTCGGCGTTTGCCACCGCTATGGTGTTTCCGCTTTGCAGTGCAGTTGGCAGCACTGCAAGCTCGGCGCATGCGCCCCGCACAATGTTGTCTGTGGTTAGGCACGAATACGAAGCGGAACAGAGGTCCGGTTTGAGCTGGGGGGCCAAACAGCTGTGCTCACTGGGTGTATGTTTACACTGGGTGGTCAACCAGGCCGCTAGAGGCATTGGGCAAATGCCGTCTTCCATGGGTGAGCGTTTGAAATGATTTAATTGTTTTGCTGCTGTTTGATGCCACATATTTGCACATATCCCTTCGTGTTTACGAAAAATTCCAAAATTCTGAGTTAAGGCAATTCTCAATATTCATACCGTTTGGGCTGACACATAGAAAATAATACGAATTAACTTGAATTTCTTGAACTCTAAGAAGCATAGCAATTTGCAGGGTTGGCCAAATAGTCTAGAATATTAAATAAATCTGTGTTTAATTTGAGACCTGTGCGGACATATTTATGATCTCATAATTTATTTGCATAATTTACTTGACATTAGGCAAACAATTTCACACTTAAAGCACTGCGGTCGCGCATAAATATTGCCTGCTTTGGTACGGGACGCGGCTAATGAGCATCAAGGGAAATTATGTGTAGTGTGTAGGAAAAACCATACCAAATGGCTGCCAAATGTTGCTGGGTGCCAAAATAACAAAAAAAAAATATAATTACTTAGCCTAAAAGCATGCGGCATATAATTTTGTTTTTGTATTCTTTACCTTCTGCTGGCCAATTTGGGCGCGTGAATGCGTAAAAAGCATCAGAATAAGAGTTCGCATCACAATCAGAATGAGAAAAAAAAAACAAAGAAGGAAAGCCGCAACAACAGCATTGCCTGCCGTTGACACACATTGGGTACACCAAGGACAAGCAACAAAACATCAGCCGCAACGGCAACAACAACAATAAAACATAAGCCAAAACGTGTTTGTTTGCCAAATTTATTGTCGGACCCGCTCACATTTCCCACAGCGACCAACATACAACAGCAGCCCGGCCAACAAATGAACGTGTATATACATGTGTGAGAGCGTGTGTGTATCTGGTTGCTTGTATGTGTGCCTGTCAGTGAGTGCGTGTCGGTGTTGTTACTAATGACAACGAAGCCGCGTCGCGCATCAACGAACGACACCAGAAAGTCATTGACTCATTGAGTTTTCCCTGTGTGCGATAACAACCGCCAATGCCACGCCCCCACGCCCCCACAACAGCTCACTTACCACTGCAACACTCGTTGGCTTCGGCAGCGTTAGCTTGTTTGTTTGCTAGGTGGTTGGTTGTCTGGTTGGTCGGATGGCTGCGTGTCTGCACGTAGCCAACATCAACAGCACTAACACCAACACCAACAACACCAACAACAACAACGACAACAACAGCATCAATAGGCACTGCGTCTGCTGTAACGTTATGGCCATGATTATGTAGTGGCTGCTGCACTTACTCCATCATCATTAGACATTGTCAGGTGGCACTACATTGCGTTGGCACTTTGGGACATTCGCCCGTGCCAAAAAGAGGGAGACCCAAAGAGCTGGCAAACTAAGACGAAAGCTTGACTCGATGGCCAAACGGCCAAAAGCGACAAAGTGAGTATAAATATTAGTTTGAACTCATTTTGTCTTACTATATATGGATAGATTAATCGCATTTAATATTAATAACTTTTTAATTGATCGTGTAAGTTGTTGTTGCTCAGCTCGAATAGTTTTGAAATTGCTCTCAGATTCAAAATATTATTATATTATTTGTGCAAGCTAATTAAATGGCTTTATTCAAAGCATTAGCAACTAATGGTCCTACAGCTGCTTATCTCTTTATGACTTTATAAATATCTGTAACATTCATTTGGTATGGCAAAGTATGGTTGGGCACAACATTTTGTATTTTGTATATTGTATTGTAGTATTGTCAGCTACTTAAAGAAGAGCAGCTTACAGTTTAGCATGAGTCCACTTTTGGCTTATTTTTTATGGATGTTACTGGCACTCGCAGTTGAGTCGAAGGAAAGAGTAAGGTCGCCTTAAGTACAGAGTTTCGTTGTTCTTTAACCTATCATTATTGAATAGGTAGCTATACAAGGCAAGCGGAAATTAATTTTGGAATCAGTGCAGACTTCCTGCGATCATGATTTTGTGGAATATTTCCGACTAGTGCCCAATCAAAATATACTATATACTTTTCGAGTTGTTAAAACAGCTCCATCCTTTACAATTACCATTATCATGCGCAATGTGAAGTCGCAGCGAATAATGTACAAGATCAAAAACTTGGATGGCTGTGAGTTTTTGAAAAACCAGCTAATGAACAAAGTCCTTTCTCGGACTTACCGCGCTTTACTTGTGAACAACACATTCTTCAAGTGCCCGATCGAGCCAAAGGTTTACTTTCTAAGAAATTTGACAGAAGCCATGATAGTGCCGAACATTCATCCCGCTGGCTATTATCAACTTAGCATGCGAGTTCAGATGTCACAGAGTTCAGCACCTTTTGTTATGGAGATTCTCTGGAAGTATAAAATAGTATTTTTTAAGTAATAGTTTGGACAAAATTGTTGTGGAATAAAATAATAGTAAAAAAGTGGATTGAATTGAAAATTAATTCATGAACATAATTAATTGGCGTTTTAAGAATACTTGGTTACTCAATATGAATATATGCGAGTTTTATATGTTTCCCTTTAATCTTTGACAATTGATCCGTGGTTAATGAGCCATGACAAAAATGCGATCAACAACACAAATTATATCTAAATGACTTTATAATATAATTTATTTTGATCCATTTTCGGACACAACTGTAGTCTACTCAAAATATTCATAAGAAATTATTTTCATTGCCATCCAACAATCGAAAGTTGGTAGTAAGCATTTATAAGAATGTTCCTGATTTGTCTTTACCTACTCAGCACCTTACCCGTACTCTTAGTTGATTCCAAAGATGAGGTACGTAAGCATCTATAAAAGTCTTCTCGCTTCTGTTTTGCCTACTGAGTACCATAACCAAAAATCTGCTAACCCATATGTAACATTTTTTAATAGAGCTTCGGACGTGGTAAAGTGAAGGTGTTGCTCGAATCACTGCAAACCAATTGTGATCACGATTTTGTAGAGTACTTCCACAAATCGCCCGTCATAGAAACTCTCTACACTTTTCGTGTGGTAAAACCGGCGCCTACTTTCTCCATTAGCATAATTTTGCGTGCTGTGGCGTCTCATCGAATTATGTATAGGCTTAAAAACTTAGACGGCTGTCAGTTTATCAGTAATCCAATAATGAATAAAGTGTTTGCTCAGGTCTTCAACGCAATAATTGTAAATAATACCATCAATGGCTGCCCCATCCTGCCAAAGGTTTACTTCCTTAAGAATATGGCTGATCCGAAAGTAATTCCAACATTTCATCCCATTGGCCGCTACCAAACGAATGTTCGCATTCACATGTCACAGAGTCCAGGACCCTACGTAATGGAAGTTATCTGGAGGTACAACGTAGTAAATGTAAAGTAATCACAAGGCCACATAATAATATTGTATTACGCTAGACTTTTTATGATTGCAATGTACAGAAACACAAAAAAAATATCAATTTTATAGGCTCTTCATTACACTCTCTGTTTAAATATATATTAATATGTGATAGCAAATTAACTTGTATTCTTCAATTAAAGGAAATGGATTTGAAAACTATTAGCATATAAAGCATATAAAGCGGCATATAAAGGGCTTTTGTTTGAATCGGCAAGATAATGAGCTTGGGGTAGAAGCTTACCTCAACTATGATGTAATGCAGAAATTTGGTTATTATCCAAAGAGTAGAATCAAATATGTTCAGAAACCTCACTGAGCGGCATTCTTATGAGAAACAGTGTATCCGCAACGTTCACGGAAACCCAGCCATTTTAAATAAGTAGATAAAAATGAAGATGGTATGGCCTTCATTTCAAAAATATTTGTCACCACTGTTGAAAAGATAATTAATAACGATATACCTTTAAAAAATCTATATTTAATACAGTTTTTCCCTGCCCTGCTTTAATGGCAAATCTACCGCTGGCTACTGGACACCAAGGCTGCTGTCTGCAGCCTGAAGCTTGAAAACTGCCAACCCAATTCTATAAATCTACATAACAATTATGATGCTGGTTAGTATTAAAAACAATAACGGCAGGGACGATAGCTATAGGTATAGCTATGACTATGTCCGTCATATTTCTAACAATGCGTTGGCAACAGCGTTGCTGTTGCTGTTAGTATTAGTGCTCTTGTTGTTATTGTTTTTGTTGCTGTTGTCGTTTGGCGTAGCATTTATGCGCCTGTTTGCTCGGCGTTTTGTATGTAGGTCAACATTTGCACGCTGTGTGACTGACGTCAACATGGATGGGCCTGCACAGTCCGTTTCCGTTTCCCCTGTTTATGCCGTGCTGTTGTTTTTGTTGTTACTGTTGTTGTTGTTACTGCACCTCTTTTACCAGCGTTGCCGTTGCCGTTGTTGTTGCTGTTGTAGGCTTGTCGTTCTGATTATTGCTGCTGTTATGACAAATGCCCACACTGCATGGCGAGCAGCAGCTGACCAGAACGCCTATATGGTATACTATGTACAACTCTTTATGTGTAATATGCATATGCATACATGTGTAATATGCATATATGTATATAAGCGTGTATCTGTGTTAGTGTGTGTGTGTGTCGCATACGCAGCACTATCGATTTTCATTTTTGCGTGCTTTTCAGTCGCTTTGTTACATTTATTTGCGCTGTCATTGACAGCAGTTGCCATTTTTTAGCATACTTTTTTGGGCGTTGTCCGTTGCATTTAATTGGTATACATGCTTCTTCGCACGTCAACGCCAGGTATGTGTGTGTGTGCCTGTAAACGTGTACGAGATTGTTCGTGCATATCGCAGACTCTTTAAAATTGCACGCGAATACCACAACCACCATGGACCCCTTCATGTGGCTGTGCACTTCAAAAATGCAATCGTCAACGCATTTCACATGAACCCATTAAAAATGTGTAAGAGGGGTATAATGTTTTTGAGCAATTTTATGTAATAGGCAAAAGAAAGCATCTTCGACCCTGTAAAGTATTTATATTTTTGTTTGGGACGACGAGCTGAGTCGATCCAGCTATGGCACGAGGGTTTCAAGGTAGTTTCTAGTCGGGCACTCCCGACTAGAGCGTTCTTACTTATTTTTTTTAACCTAGGAAACTCCTTTGACAACATTGAGAGCTGCGTTCATATAATTGCAGCCTTGAGGCTGCCGCTCAGCCCAACAATTTACATTTTTTTTATACATTGTTGATTGTTTATTGATTTTTGCATGCCACATGTAATTTGCATGTTTTTAATGACTTTTTGCCAGGTTGTTACTTCATTAAAAATGAATGCCTTAAAAATGTTGCATATTTTTTCAAATTGCGCTCAAGTGGGTCGGCACTTGAGCCGAGTTGTCGTTTCGCTAAAGAGATTTCAATAAACTGATAGGCATCAACTTCTTTTGTGTACCCTGGCATAAAAGAAATCATATACATCATTACAATATTTATTTGCGCTCACTCTTAACCTCCCCCACATGTGCGAGGACCCAAAGACAAAGAAACCCAGCAGCAGCAGCAGCAACAACGTCAAGTTGTGAGTTGTAAATCTTCTGTTCTGGGCAGGAATCGCATTTGCATGTAACACGTGAGTTCACAAAGGCAAGTGACATTGTTTGGGGGGCACATGGGTCGCGCTGGCTGGCACAGAAATTAAAGTGAGAGTGCAAGTGCGTGGTAGGGTTGCTGTTTGGCAAAACATGCAGACAAGTGCAACCCCACACAACCCCAGAGATGCAAGGGACGATGCACTGCAAACATGACAGCATACAAATAGCCTAGACGAGGCATCGCAGCAGGATGTGTGTGAGACTGTGTTGATGCCGCTGCACGCCTCAACGCACCCAACAAATTATGTGAAAAGCATTTGCAGCTGGGTGAAATTGCACATTAAATGATTGAAAATTTTGAAAGCGATGCGTCACTAGTAGAAACCATAAATGTCAGTTTCATATAATTAAAGTTGCTTAAAATGTGATTAAATAGAGAAGTTTCGCAAAGGAGATACTCTCTGGCTCTCCCTTGGGTGTCATTGAAATTCCCAAAACCATGGTTAATGGTGGTTCTGGGAAACGAGGAAATCAATTTATGTTATTTTCCCATGTCAAGTCAATTGTATGCTTGCTCTAGAGGTCATGCTAACAGTAGCAATATTTCCCGGTATATAAAGCTCAATAATGAGCTACTCAGACATTTATGGCTAACTAAATTTTTAAATTAAGATATTAATCAATAACCTTGAGTAAAGCTAAGAAAGCTAAAAGCTAAATATTCAAAAGATTTACATCAAGCCTATGTTTATTTCCAAGACCCCTTCTATAAACAATCTTCAAAAAACTCTTGCATATTGAAGTTTTTTATTATAACATTTAAAGCTTTTATGCTTTGTATACGAAACGCTTCAAAGTTTGTATGTCAAGCAGAGTATTTTAAAAATCATTTCAGAGATTTTTTATGTTTTGCCAAGTAATCTGAGCTGGCCATATTTACGTCCAAGCATTTTGATCAGTACAAAAGCCGCTTAACACGCACTTTTTATTCACACACACACAGCACATATACGCGGGCAATATGTGCGGATATAAAATAAAGAATGAAGTGTTGCTTTTCGCCCTGTCATGTTATTTGCAGGCTTCAGAGAATATAATAATCACGCATTAAGTACCATTTTCAATTACTGTCCTGATGCTGCATCCTGCCGTGGCGTCCAGCCCTTGGGCTGCCACTCAAAATGTCTCTCAGCGCTAACCACATAAAAAACTAATCAACTTATTTATGAGCATTTGCGGTGAACAAAAGGAGCGTGCAGAATTGCGTATTCCGGCCACCTAGATAGTAAATAATGTTAAGGGACGAAGTAGTACATATACTTCAAGTCTGAAAATAAGCTTAAGACAGCAGTCCAAATATAAAGCGCCAGCATTACAAGCGAAAAAGTGGAAAGTGCAAAAATGTCCTGACGCAGTTTATAATTTTTCTGTTAACTGAAATTACATTTTATATAACACGCAGACGTGAACTGTCATATTTTACACTCACAGGCACGTTCACACACGCGCTCATAAAAAATCGTAAAATTGCTTGCAACTGTAGGACATTGATCAGCCACACACACACATACGTACATACGACAAAGTTTCGGTTGGCGCTATGTGGCATTGTTTCTGTGCCACGTATAGCTGGCATCCTCTTGACCACAATTTACGCCACTTACATTACGTATCGAGTCCCAGCGACCATGTGAGACCATAACTGCCCGATGCTGTTCAGTTTATCAGCTGCGGCGCGTGTGGGGCATATCAAAATGGCATTGGGATTGCGAGCGACGACGTTTTTATGGCTGGCCAAAAGCCTTTAATGTTGGCTCGAGGCAAATTTTATGATTTTATTAAGGCAACTCGCAAACGCGCAGCTGCTCGTATCGATGGACACTCAAGGCGACAGGAGAGAGGAGCTATTGGTTGAGGAGGCGGTTATTCGGCACGTTAATTAGTCATAATTACCCGCACAGCTTTTGAGCTTTGTCAGCTGCCCTTTGTGCGCCGTCACGCCTCTGATTTATGGCCAGCAACGCGCTTAAAGCCCCACAGCTTTAACTCAAACAAAATTGCCGCACACTTACGGACACACACACACACAAGCGCACTTACACACTGTCAGCTCTCATGCGTGTGCTTAATGACTTGGAATTGATTAGAACCATTCCAAAAGAAAGAAAGAATACAACAGCAGAAAAAAAGAAGCGCACACAAAAACTGTGGGAAAATAAAAATAAATAAATTATCAAAGCAAGTTCAGATGAAATTTTTATGCCAAGAGGGCGAACTTTATTGAAACTTCTGGGCAGTCGCAAGAGACGCGTCTGCTTATGGAAAAGGCTTCTGCTCTTGATAGGGTTTCATAGTGTTGGGTCTGCCTGGCTGTGCAAGATAATAAGCTTCAGTAACAACAGATAAACAAGAGCAGCCGGAGCAGCCGGCTGATGGCGTTAAAATGCTAGCACATCTTGGCGGTTTTCACATCTTCTCTTCATCCGGCTGCCAAATAAACTTCCAAAATGTCGGCGCTTGGCGCTCAGTTGCTGACAGTTTCAGATACGAGAAATATATGATAGGACAGGATAGTTAGCAGTGCGACATTTGGCTTAGAGGCAAAGGAAATTGGGGTTTATTATACATAAGTAAGTATGCATAAATATATGTAGTATTTCCTTGCGAATAATAAATTTTGATTGAAATCTGCAATAGTTATATTATATGAGCAAGATTTGAGTGTCAGGCCTCAATAAGCCGAGGAACTAACTAAGATTCAAAAAAAGAAAACAGCTTGCCCTTCCGGGTCATTTCGTTTGCGCTGGAAGGCAACTAGAAAGCGAGGAATTCTGACAAATATCCCAGAATACCAGGCATAT